ACGCGTTCACTTTCTCTTTCTCTGCAGCTGTTTACATTGATTTACCATCATGAATATAATCTTTTGGACCCTTTCTATTATAAATTGGGCATATTAGTCAGGTTTATTCCAGATACAGTGCTCAAAATTGCCATGAGTGTATGCTTTTCAAGATGGGTGTTATTCATGTATTTTCATGTGTACTCCGAAGCCCCTGGTATCATGCTGCCTAACCTATTTGCTTTTCAGCATGATTTATATAAAGAGATCTTTATACATTATCAAACTAGTGTGCAACTTAAGCAAAACTGATACTAAAATATGTTATAAATCTAGTTTTGTAGTTTGAGCCCAAACAAATATTTGTTGCATTTTAAATTGTTTATGAGTTCATTAGATTGACTATATAAAATCAGTGGATATTATCGTTGCATTTATTGAGTAAATCTGCTATTTGTATTGTAATTCAACGTGTTGGTAATTATCTATGCATTGTCATAAAGCTGCAGAGAAAGTAATAGCCTACACGGTGCTGACTGTCTGCCGACTGAAGCTGAGCGTCCATAACCCACCAGTCTGTTTAAGGGTCGTTTGACCTTGTCTGTGATGAATTTGCTAGAAATATCACTGATGTAACGCAATAGACTTTAAAGTATAAAAAAATATTGTACATGAAATATTGATTGCTTGTATTGAGAGTGCTAAGACAAGCGTCAAAATCTGAGCGCGAGTGCACTGGCGGAGCTGGGAGGGCGTGACCAGCCAGTTGTAATCATGTCAATTTTGAGCACTGTATCTGGAATAAACCTGACTAATATGCCCAATTTATAATAGAAAGGGTCCAGAAGATTATATTCATGATGGTAAATCAATGTAAACAGCTGCAGAGAAAGAGAAAGTGAACGCGTTAAACTCCGGGCTACCTGGCTGGTGACGCAGCGAGTGTTGCAAACCCACCGGTCAGTTTAAGGGCTGTTTGAAGCGCTTCTTTGAGGAAACACTGCTATAAATGTCTAAACAAGTAGACACAAAAGAATACACATTTCATGAATTAAAAATGTAATTCATCTGGAAGAGAGCGCGAGGACACGCGCCAGACTAAGATAGTGATCGCGCTTATGCATAACCAGCGCGTGCATGGGGAGGGCGTGACCAGCCAGTTGTAATCATGGCAATTTTGAGCACTGTATCTGGAATAAACCTGACTAATATGCCCAATTTATAATAGAAAGGGTCCAGAAGATTATATTCATGATGGTAAATCAATGTAAACAGCTGCAGAGAAAAAGAAAGTGAACGCGTTAAACTCCGGGCTAACTGGCTGGTGACGCAGAGTGTTGCAAACCCACCGGTCAGTTTAAGGGCTGTTTGAAGCGCTTCTTTGAGGAAACACTGCTATAAATGTCTAAACAAGTGTACAAAAAAGAATACACATTTCATGAATTAAAAATGTAATTCATCTGGAAGAGAGCGCGAGGACACGCGCCAGACTAAGATAGTGATCGCGCTTACGCATAACCAGCGCGTGCATGGGGAGGGCGTGACCAGCCAGTTGTAATCATGGCAATTTTGAGCACTGTATCTGGAATAAACCTGACTAATATGCCCAATTTATAATAGAAAGGGTCCAAAAGATTATATTCATGATGGTAAATCAATGTAAACAGCTGCAGAGAAAGAGAAAGTGAACGCGTAAAACTCCGAGCTAACTGGCTGGTGACGCAGAGTGCTGCAAACCCACCGATCAGTTTAAGGGCTGTTTGAAGCGCTTATTTGAGGAAGCACTGCTGCAAGCCTGCAAAGGTCTAAACAAATGTACACAAAATAATACACATTTCATGAATTAAAAATATAATATCTTTGGAAGAGAGCGCGAGGACACGCGCCCGTCTAAGATAGTGCTCGCGCTTACGCATAACCAGCGCGTGTGCTGGTGGACCAATGGGAGGGCGTGACCAGCCAGTTGTAATGAAGGCAATTTTGAGCACTGTATCTGGAATAAACCTGACTAATATGTCCAATTTATAATAGAAAGGGTCCAAAAGATTATATTCATGATGGTAAATCAATGTAAACAGCTGCAGAGAAAGAGAAAGTGAACGCGTAAAACTCCGAGCTAACTGGCTGGTGACGCAGAGTGCTGCAAACCCACCGGTCAGTTTAAGGGCTGTTTGAAGCGTTTCTTTGAGGAAACACTGCTATAAATGTCTAAACAAGTGTACACAAAAGAATACACATTTCATGAATTAAAAATGTAATTCATCTGGAAGAGAGCGCGAGGACACGCGCCAGACTAAGATAGTGATCGCGCTTACGCATTACCTGCGCGTGCGCTGGTGGAGCAGCGCGTGACCAGCCAGTTGTAATCATGGCAATTTTGAGCACTGTATCTGGAATAAACCTGACTAATATGCCCAATTTATAATAGAAAGGGTCCAGAAGATTATATTCATGATGGTAAATCAATGTAAACAGCTGCAGAGAAAGAGAAAGTGAACGCGTTAAACTCTGAGCTAACTGGCTGGAGACTGCAAGTTGATTAGCGTCAATATCCCACCAGTCTGTTAAAGGGTCATTTGAAAACCTTGTTTGGAATTTTTTTGCTGCAAATATAAGGTATGTAAACCAGAATACCATGAAGACTATACATTTCATAAATTAATAATTTGATTTCCCAGAAAGAGAGTGCTAATTAGACGCCACACTCAGAGGGCTTAAGCACTGTTAAACTGAGCTGCTTGGGTAGACGTTAGTACCAGCCAGTTGTATTGACAGCTATTTCAGTGCTGTGTCTGATTAACTAGTTTAATGTGTCCAATGCCTAAATGAAAAGCTCCATTATATTACTTTCAGAGAAATTAAAAAAAGCAAGGGAAGCAAACTCAGACCTCCATATTTTGTAGATTTGAGCACACTTTATTTGTAATAAACATTCAGAAATTACCATCATTAAGAATAAATCTGTAAAAATGTTCATATTGTTTATTGTTAACACATTTGATGAAATGAAAGGTCATATGACCTACCAGTTGCCAACTGCTACCAAGCAGCCCCTGGTAGGACGCCTGACTCACCAGCCAGTTGTTAATGGCCACCAAACAGCCACTGGTAGGACACCTGACCCACCAGCCAGTTGTTAATGTCCACCAAACAGCCACTGGTAGGACACCTGACCCACCAGCCAGTTGTTAATGTCCACCAAACAGCCACTGGTAGGACACCTGACCCACCAGTCAGTTGTTAATTTCCACCAAGCAGCCACTAATAGGACACCTGACCCACCAGCCAGTTGTTGAAGGCCACCAACCAGGCTCTGGCTGCCAGTTGTCAACTGCCGGGTAAAATGCGCTGCCACTGGCAGGTCATGCTACCTGACAGTTGGACACTGGCGGCTGCCACCAGCCAGTGGCAGGTCATGTGACCCGCCACTGGCGGCTCCTGCCAGCCAGTTGAAGATTGAACCCCGACTCCCCAGTAAACAGGCGAGAAAAAGGCTAATAAAGGCAAAAAAGTAGCATTTAATTTTAATATCAATGCCTTGGACATTATAAATAATAAAAAGTATGAGTAAAATGAATAAATGAGGTTTTAGTCATCTATATTTGCCCTTATGTAACGGAAGCCAGCTGGTGATCGCGTAAAGCTCACTCCTCGGATCCAGGGACAGACGTTGTTCTGCAATCTTATCGGAGCTTGTCTCCCATGCTGGCTCGCTCTCTGCTCGGACCGGTGCGGTTACTTGCACATAAACCGTCTTTTGATGAATATGATGTTACACATTGTCTATCTTTATTAACTCTTTCTTCCATAGTCGCGAAATATTATATTGACAGCTAAAGAATATAAACGTAAGAGAAAAAGGAGAGGAAATATTATAATAATAATACAAAATAGATAAACATTGACAGGGCTAAGAACAATTACGAACAAAGATTTTCAAAACCAGAGAGATTTTATCAGGATGTCACAAAACAGTTTACTTGGAACTGTTAAACAGTGTTCAGGTATGATTTAAGGTTGGTTATGGATGGCGTGTCTAATTTAAAATAATTTAACAAAACGTGCGAATGCATTAAAGGAGCGTCTTCAGTTATTATTTAAACGCAGCTATGTCAGGATTGGGATAGGTTATAATTTCATTATTTAAATTATGATTGTTATTATTATTATTTTATGACATGTATTTGGGCTATTGCGCTTAAATAAGTCATCCGTGATTCTAAATTAATATTTCTATTTTTCCTTTTTAGCTATCACTTTGCTATCGTCTTTCTCTTCTTCTTTTTTTTTTCTAGTTTTTGGGGTTCTGCCACGGTTAAACGTTTGCAAAATGTCTTTAGTTTGTCCAGATTATCTTTTCCTCTAAAATAGAGACAAAGCAGAAGGAAAATGAATGAATTGATGAATGAATGAAATGATTGACGAACTTGTTAATACGGTGTATTATTTTTTTCAGTTTGTGATATTCAACAAGCTTTTTAATTCAAGACTTTAGGCATTGATTTTGTTCCATACTGTGCGGTCACTGATCCATCGATGTAGAAAAGTGATGTAAAATTAGAATTTTCATAATTGAAAAAAAATAATAAAAATACTAACATCCAGGGAAACTCCCGATCATAGATATATGTGTATAACTCTGGCTCTGCCGCCCCCAAACCCCCCCGACCCCCTTGAAAACTGGGGGCCCCATCGGTGATCCCTGCAGGGGGGCCTCCGCATTTTGCGCTACGCCACTGTACAGTAATGATCATGTATTAAACATTTTTGTAAGGGTAATTGAAAAGATCCCACAAGATGCTAATGCAAAGTTCATAGCATGTAGACAAAATAAATAAATAATTATTATTATTAAGAATTATAATTAAAACAATTAGGAACAATTAGGAAATATTATTGAAAGCTATTTGTTGTTCAGGAAAACAGTTAAAACAATTGGCCAAGTCAACTTTCACCTGCCTCAGGTGCGAGTATGAGGATCGATTAGTTGTGAGTGTGGAAAGAGAGAAGCATTACTGTACCTCCCACCGGCTGCAAGTGAGCAGAAAGAGAGAGAAGGGCAGCGCGGTGCCGGACATGGCGTGTGTGGAGGGCATGCTGTACTCCGAATTGTAGAAGACCTCCACCTTGACCACCGGAGGAGAAGCGGGACGGGTCCAGCGCACCACATCTTTCGTAGACTGTCCGAGGAACAGCACCCAGGCCCACACAACGATCAGCTGCCGGCTCACATACGGGTCAACATTCCACATGAGGAAGGGGAAGAAGACGATGAAGAACATCTCGTTGCCCAGCTCGGTGCCGATGGTGAAGAGATAGAAGAGAAACTTGTTCTCGATGATGAACTCCTGGCCAACATCACCGGTCAGCGAGTTCCTGCGCAGGGGCTTCACTGTGCCTTTAGGGTCAGTGTCTGCGGGTCCATTGTGGGCACACTCGTCCTGCTTAACATTTAAACTTTTCCTCAGCCTTTGGCCCGGAAGTCTGTCCGCCGAGTCTCCACTAGCCTCGCGCGCTCCCTGACGCTGCCCCGCGCAAGCCCCGTTGACCGACAGCTTGTCGTCGTTCTCGGCTGCTTTTTTCGCAAACGTCCCGCGGACCCCGCAGAGCTTCTGGAATCTGGCAACATGGCAGGGATCCTGTAGATATCGACAAAGGCAGATGAATCTGTGGAGCACGTCGCTTGCCATGGTAAAACCGAAAGGGCTTCTTTTTACCCTGAATCAATGTCCCACGCGCTGACCGAGGGATGCTGTAAACACGAGCGCGTGCACCGAACAATGGCAGATTATATTGCTCGGCGCATAGCGATACAGTCGCGTTCTCTAGCCGTCAACCCCCTAGAGAAGATGGTGAATACTAGAGTGGCTTTTTGACTGGGAGCGAGGAAGTACCCGTCCGTTATTACGCAGGGAGGGCGACAGATGAGCAGGCATGTACGTAGTTGAAGAGGCGGGGACGCGCGCAGGCAGTGACGCACTGTAGGTCCCGGTCGTTCTCGTGGTCTGCACTGGAAATATGTATTTCTCATAGAAATATACACTGACACGCAGAGTGTTTGTGTTGGGGGAAGCCTGAATGTGCGCGGTATTCAGTGTTAAAGATATGTGCGCATTTAACTGTTAGACATTTTAGTTATTTACTGCGTACAATACAATAAATGGCTTTTTGACGTTTTTTTCCAATTCCCTTTCATTTCTACATTTCGGTCCAGGAAGCTTCAGAAGTGTCTTGTTGGCGGTGGAGTCACGTGGTGTTTGTCACTTTTCTCTGCGTTGATGGGGCTGCACCAATCATAGTAGTTTGTGAATAATAGATTAGATTTTCATTCAGTATCATTTATAAGGATTTCCATTCCAACAAATGGAGGTTTTGACTTAACCCTCAGGCAAAAAGAGCACATTTTTGGACGAAATTATTTTATTTCTTTTTTTAAATAATTTCCTTGAGCAGTCCAAGATACATTTTCTTAGTTTTCCATCTGAACAAATAAAAAAAGAATTGGTTCAACAATGCTTTGTTGTGAAGAAACATTCAACATACTTGAATAAATAAAAAACTTCTGAACTCACTTCAGTGACATTTTTGAAGTAAAATAAATATTACACATTAAAATAAAATATGTTTTACATAAACATCGAACTGGAAAAATAATAGTAATATTATAACTGATAATTATAATACAATCTAACTATATTGTCCAACAAATGTAATAATGCAAATAAAACATGCACTTAAAGGTCTGAGCCTGTTCAACATAAGGGTATAACGATAATTTAGACATTTTTAAGGATCCATTATCCTCTTATATTTGTTATTACTTTATTAATATTTTTTTATTATTGTGATAATTAACTTAAATATTATATAATAATAGTAATAATATTAACTTAAAGTCTTGGTATATGTTGCTTGTGTGTATGCATGCATGCATACATGTATGTACAGCACTCAGCATAATCTAGTACACCCCATTTTGAAGATTACTTTTTTTTTTATGGTGCATTTAAACAAAACAGATTTATTAAACAGATATATTTAAGATATTTTAGTCACCAAACATATTTAGAAATTGAAAGACAATACAATTAAATTCAAGCAAAATAATTACAACCTAGAAATTGAAACTAAATTTTTCCCTTTTTTTAAATTTGTATTTAATATTTTTCTATAACATTTAAATTTAAAATTATAATAATAATAATAATTATATATATATATATATATATATATATATATATATATATATATATATATATATATATATATATATATATATATATAAAGAGCAAGCAACTTAAATATAATTTAAAGATTATATCTTACAATAAAATGATCCATGTTAATCTTATCTTCATATTTTTATTTTTTATTATTTGATTGACAGACCCCACAGAGGCGAACAGTATACCAAAGAGTGGAATCGGACCTTTCCATTGCCTTTCTCATGGTAATTACAGGAGAGGCATGTCAATAGGAGCACTCCAAGGACACAGAGGGGTCTTTGTGGTAAGATAAAAGGGTGTCCCATAGCTGAACAATTTAATTTACCCTGTGGGACTGTTATGGGATACATCATACTTGTAGCTGTTGTGTAAAAAAGGATGAATCTTTAAATAAATGTGACACTTGAAACATTTCTCCACTAGAGGGAGACAGGGCTGTCCATTGCTTAGAGGAGTATGAAATGAAAGTAGACAATTTTTTCGAACACTGCACTTTATCAAGTTATTTATTTTTGAACGTGATTTTTGAACAAACTTGTAATTTTTAACAAAAACATTTTCCCCTGCCTCTTGCAATGAAATCTCAGTAAGATTAGTAAGATTACTGCTTTCAAAAATAGATCCCTCATCCAAATTGGCAGAATTGGCAAATATGTGATGCTTACATAAAAATACAAAAACATGCTTATTAGCTAAATGAAAGCCATTTTTTATTTACTATACATTGTAAGAAATAGTGAAATACTTCAACAGAGAAAAAATATGGAAAGAAAAAAACCCGTGTAGTTGTAAAACTAGTAATAATGCACAATGCAATACTAGACAACTGTAATATGAAAAGCATAGATGCAAATATACAGACTTTTAACGGCTCTGTCCAGTCCATTTAGTTACTGTGCCACTTGAATCTTCGCGAATCTTTGCGTTTCACTGGAAGTTTGGGGATGGGGGGTTGTTAAAAACAATCAGGTCACTTGAGGTTAAATAAATGTAGACTTTTGTTTGTTTAATGCAGGGGTCACCAATCTCGGTCCTGGAGGGCCGGTGTCACAGCAGGGTTTAGCTCCAACTTGCCTCAACACACCTGCCTGGATATTTCAAGTATACCTAGTAAGGCCTTGATTAGCTTGTTCAGCTGTGTTTGATTAGGGTTGAAGCTAAAATCTGGCACTTCAGGAACAAGTTTGGTGATCCCTGGTTTAATGAAACAACACTTACATGCCCTGGTGTCTTCCTCCTTCACACTCAAAAGCCAGTCTTTCGTCTGTTCTGGCTCTCCTTTTTAGACCACATTAGAAAATTTGCATCAGTAACCACAAAAGACTCATTTAAACTAGTTATCAACAATACAGTTTTACATTTGGGGCCGCATTCACATTACATGTTTTAAATAACCCAATTCCATTGTTTTTCTCCTATGCTGCACCCACAAACATGTAAGATGAAGGTAAAAAAAATGTCAAGGATTTTGATATTTTTATTGGATGTTCCAGTCAACGCCTCCTGGGTTTTTGAGGTTTGTTTTTTGCCATTTAAAATGTATTTTTTTGGCCACAAGCTCTTCTATATCATATTCTATATTCTATAGCTCTTCTATGCTCGAATATGGGAAAAATCATAATCACTATTTAGGTCATAATTGAATTCACGATTATTCAAAACGATCAGTTGAAGTCAAAATTATTCGCCCTCCTGTGAATTTTTCAGTGACCAACGCATATCACCTAGGTCACTGAAAAAAAAAAAATGACAGGGGCAAATGTCACCAATCATGATACATTTTTTTTAGGGAAGTACCGATTCACTAAACTCATGATTTGAATTTGTTTATTACATTATTATGAGATTGAAGATATCATACAGTAAAGGACAAGGTGTTTCATATTAGGAAATCACTGTACATTTCTTTGTGAAATTGAGATGATAAAACTAAATATATATTTGATTTTGGCTTTTTCAAATGTCTAAAAGGCTATGTCTGTGCTCTTTCCATTTTAAATTAGAGACCACACCAATTTAATCATGATTCAAACAAAGATGCAGCATGAGCAGTTCTTGATCTAAATTAGACTGCATCATTCAGAATTTGAAGCAAAAACAGAATGCTCTGGCTTTAGTTTTAGTTTAGTAACGGTATGAATTTTTTACGGTATGATAATCGTCTAAAACAATACCACGGTTTGACGGTTTCGCGGTATACGGTATGTTACAAATGTTACAAAATAGTAGAACAGTGAAGCAAATTTGACTTTTTCCAAATAATGTATTTTCAGTTACTATAAACAACACCACTTACAAAGAACAAATAAAAATAAGAAAATAAGAAAATAATAAATAATGTGTCAAAGTCCAAATAAAGTCCAAATAAACATGGTGCAAATCCTCAGTAAAAAAATAGATATAAATATTTACTATCCTATAAATAGTTACATAACGAAACTAGATTCAATATGGATCATCTTTAGGTTTTATGTGCCAGCATAGATATGGTTGTCTGTGGATATGGATTTGGATATGGTTGTCTGCAATGCAGACAAACAGCTGCACCTTCATTTGCGTCTTTTGAAAACAGCAAGAGCAGCAGTTCGTCTTTGCTGTGTCACTGTTTTGTCATGTTTTTGTGCTGTTGTGCATGCAAAAGTACTTAGTATGAGAATTATTTCATGCAAAACTTTTTTTTTGCGTATTTAGCCGCGCATAAATGTATGCCTATCTCTCATTCCGTGTTGTTCAAAAAGCTCAGTGTTGGTCCACAAACAAAAGCGAAACCTATGCTTATTGGTTGTGATATAGCGAGTTTGAACCAATCTGGGCATGGAGGAGGGACAATGCATCAATGTATCATGTCTGGTTTGTCCGGAGACACAGTGACGAGCATTTCTTTGTCAAATCAGCGTTGTCAAATTTTGATGACGTAACCGCACTGATTCCGGAGCCTCTGAAAGTCCGCGAATGTTATGTGATACAGCACTGAAAAGCTGAGATTCTCTTCTTTATGCCAATATTTGAATTGTATGAATCGGATCAGCGGATCAAAAGTTATTAAACATTTAAGAGCAATACTTATTTTTAGCCGCGGGCGGCTGTCTCGGTCTTTAAGGGTTAAAACCGTTGATATGCAATTGTTCGTGGTATGATAATCGTGCACGTTCAAATCGTGGTAGACCGTCACACCGGTATATTGTTACAACCCTACCTACTACACAACATTCAACTGAAGTAAACTACAGATTTACACTCTGCCAGCAGGTGGCACTTAAGAGGGTTGCCAAATCCACAAGCAAGGACTTTGTGCAGGTTGTTTTTTAAAGTTGATACATTGTTGAAATATTTTACTCTTTCAAATTAATATTCAATCGATGATTTAATAAAAACTGCTAGTAAGGAAGTTCACTTCCACTGAATCTGTTCTGTTTTTCTTCCCCCATCCGATAAGTTTTTAACTGGATGGCACAGAACAGTCATACGAGAGACACCATGCTTTTGCTGTTAATTTAAGGAAAGACATTTTTAAATGCATTATGACTAATATAAACTCTTTATAATTACTAATATACAGTTATTTCTGATGAAGAATCTGTTTATAGTATGACAATGGTTTTCAGAATAGGCGGTGCATATTTATATATATTCGTTAGGCTAATTTTGTTCTAAAAGGCTGGTAACACTGGCACTGAACAGCATATCGTTTCCTAGATTACCACTGTAAACAAAGCAGGGCTGTGCTAATAAACAGTACTTTAATATGCATCATTCAGTGCAAGATAAACACAAAACACCACATAAAATTTCCAAAAGACAATCAGTTGCCCTCAGAGATTCATAAATACTCCAATTGTAGTGATTTCCTTGGCCAATTTGAATCTCACATTTTAAATCAACTGGTTTTAGGCTGTCCACAAAGGCTCTCCTGGGTTTTTGATGTTTGTTTTTTGCCATTTAAAATGTATTTTTTTGGCCACAAGCTCTTCTATATCATATTCTATATTCTATAGCTCTTCTATGCTCGAATATGGGAAAAATCATAATCATTATTTTGGTCATAATTGAATTTACGATTATTCAAAACGATCAGTTGAAGTCTAAATTATTCGCCCTCCTGTGAATTTTTTTGTATATAAATATTTCCCAAATGATGTTTAACAGAGGAATTTTTCACAGTAGTTCCTATTATATTTTTTCTTCTGGAGAGGCTTATTTGTCTTATTTCGGCTACAATAAAAGCAGGTTTAAATATTTTGAAATCTGTTTTAATAGCTCAATATTATTAGCCCTTTTAAGCAATATATGTTTGATTGTCTGCAGAAGAAACTACTGTTATACAATGACTTGCCTAATTACCCTAATTAAGCCTTTGAATGTCACTTCAAGCTGAACACTAGCATCTTGAAAATATCTAGTAAAATATTATGGACTCTCACAGCACAGATAAAAGAAATCAGTTATTAGAAATTAGATATTAATTTCTGTTCTGTTTAACTGTGCTTTAAGCATTTTCACTGTAAGAAAAAAACTTTAGCTACAAAAGTCCTTCAGTCAAGAGCAGTGAGGGATTTTCTCCTGTTGTTATTAATTAATAATAAAAACAGGTGGCAGCAGGAAAATTGAGCGCTGTCACTTTAAGAATAGTGTGGCTGTGATATGGTTTCTCTTTCACATGTCTTTTGATTCCTAACTTGTTTATTACACAAACGATGGTTAATATGAATAATTACCAAACACCGCGCTCTGACACAAATATGCATGTATTTGATCATTAAAGCGCTCACATTAAGATGTCGTTAGATGTGTGTGCTCTGCTCGTCTCCAAGCCTGTCCGAAGCTAAGCGCGGCATGCACACACACCTACATACGCTCTATCCGGACAAATCAGAACTGGGTACCAAGACCTGAAGTGTAAATGTACCCTAAAAGATGGCCTTAGCCAATTCTAACCTGGTTTTCCAAAATGATTATAGGTCCTGGTCTTTAGAGAAGGCGGTCTCACATGACTTTTCAACAAGGCTTGATCACTTCCAGAATTTGACGTAGTAGCTATCTCAACTGGTCTGTGGCGCCTGGATCTTGTTCCCTTTACACCATTTACCAAATCAATGTGGAGAAAAAAAATGAATAAAATAATAATAAGAAGAAGAAGAAGAAGAAGAAAAAGAAGTATCTCTATATGTTGGTAATATTATGCATGTTTTGGCATTCATTTTATCTGCAACACTTAGAAATTTGTTCAAACCTTTGACGCATGACTACACGATTTAGACTTGATGGCGGCAAGCATATCAGCTCTACTGGTGGACTGCAGAAACAAAACCAAAAGGATTTCAGTTCAAGAAAAAAAATCCATATAAATTGTGTCTTTACTACGGGAAGTTCCAATCAGGTTTTAACTTGCCTCTGATTTCTGAGTAGTCTCAGTCTGTTTGGAGTCTTTCTTCTTTGCAGCCTGAGTACCAATATAAAACACACACTACTAAAACAGAAACATGTAAACTAAACTGAAGAGGGATCTAGTTGATCCAACTCACTGCGATTTCTTCCTGCCACTTTCGGTACTCAAGAACACAATGTCCAATAGAATCTGTCAGATTAATCAGGGTCACTCCAAGCGATGTGGGCAGTGACAATTTCTTCAGTCTTTCATAATGACCGTGCACATTGGCAATCTCCTGAAGGTCAAAATATTTAAAACAACTCAAATGATATGTTTGGCATTTGAAAATATGTTTTAATTGATTAATATACAGTACAACAAGTTTGTCGAGACTAATTTTGATGTTGACTTAAAGGCATGTAAAAAAAAAAAAAACAACAACACTAAAACAGTGTTATAAACAGGCGGGTCAAAATTACAAGTAGCCATATGTGACTGCACACTAATGGTAGCAAATAAATGAGTAAATAAACAAAATAAATAAATAAAAAGTAAATAGGTAAACAAATAAGTAAATAATTAAATAATTAAATAAATAAATGAAAATAAGTAAATTAAAAGTAAATAAAGCAAATAAAAGTAAAAATAAAGTAAAAACTAAGTACATAAAGCAAATAAAGTAAATAAACAATTAAATGAAGTAAATAAGCCAATTAATAAGTAAATAAAAAGTAAATTATTAAAAAATTAAGTAAATGACTAAAGAATAAGAGAATAAGGCAAATGAATAAGTAAATAAATAATTTAATAAAGTAAACAAATAATGAAATAAATTAAATTATTTTAAGTAAATAAGTAAAAAATAAGTAAATAAAGTAAATAAAAGCAAATAAATAAGTAATTAAATAATTTAAAATATAAAGTAAATAAATAAGTAAAAAAATAAATAAATAAATAAGTAATTATATTATTAAATAAATTATGTATAGGGGGTCAAATATTGTTATATTTTTGACATCAGATGTGGGCTGGAGAGAGGAAGAGGGGGGCCAGCAGTTCAGAGTTTAAAAAATTTCTGATTAAAAGGGGAGAAATTGTAAAGATTTTAAAGGCCAAGCAGACAAACAGACAGACATGTTAAATACTCACGTCTAGCATATCAACTGAAGCAACTTCACCCACTGCATCTCGGCAGCCCCGAAATTCTTCATTTACATGATGCTGAATGCGTTCACTTGATTGAAATGTTAGCTGTAAATAAGTCACAATTGGAGAATGTTCAGACATTGTTGAAACACCCTCCTTTACCACAAAGCACAACACAAATAAAACCTGCTGACCTTCTTAGGCAAAGCAGTGAAATAAAAGGCCTTCTCTAACAAAAGCCTTTTAAAGATGTAAACAATATCCAGATGCTGGCAACTTTTTGCATCCACGACAAGCTTCTGCAAATCATACCAGTCCTTCAGAGCAATTCTGATCTGAGTAAAAGAGACACATACTTGGTTACATCTTTTCAGAATTAGAAACACTGAACAGAACAGGTAAAGCTTAATCGCTACTGGTCTTCATTAAATGTATAAGAATGCAAAAACTGATCACCTTTTCTTTAGGCCAAGCAGGTTGCATATAATAGAGGCCATAGATCAGATACAAAGCCCCGACACGAATTTGAAAGCTGTATGGGGGCAGAAGGTAACTGTAGGCTGTGGTGAAAGTAAGCCGTGTGAAGGACCTCTTCTCACTTTTGGAACTAATTCCACTGTTGAAGAAAAATTTTGAATTTAACAAATATAGATTTATAGTTTAATTTTTAGGCTACATCATCATGAACGTAATTTTTAACAATGAACACTTAATTGATTTACTTTGATGTCTGAAAGCATGAATTATATTTACTAAAATTGAAATTATGAACCTAAGACAAAAAAAGACTAATGGAACACTATACTAATTTGTACATAAATTACAATCAGTCATAAGACATAATTCATTTAAAGGGCATCTGTGATGAAAATCATCATTTGTAAGCTGTTTGGACAGAACTTTGTGTAGGTATAGTGTGTCCACAGTCATATTGGGGTGATGTAAAAACAATAAGTCTCTTTTTTAAAGGGATGGTACCCTTTAAATGCAATACATTCACATTTCAATGCAAAGAGAGACATTGGCTTTTACAGAGTTAGCTTGTCAAAGCCTACAGTGAAGTTTGTGGACTACAAAAAATACATCTGGGTTAGTGAGATCACAAGGGCTTCTGGTTACGTGCGTTCACCATGTGCATACACCCATTTCTATTTCATGCTATTTCCATAGAGCTTCTTCCGTTTCTGTATTAGGGCACAAAGAGAGAAGTGCGTACAGTTTCATTTTAATTATGTTTCAGAGAATTATACAAAATATATAGCGAGCATTTGACAAAGGAAACATCGCAAAAAAATACGCACTTCTCTCTTTGCGCCCAAATACAGAAACAGAAGAAGCTGTGGAAATAGCATGAAATAGAAATAGGTGTACTCTTATACCATTTTTAATATTTTATCATATATATATATATATATATATATATATATATATATATATATATAAATATAAAAATATAAGAAATATAAAAATGGTATACAAGAGTATAATTTCACTTACCTGGGACATGGAGGCCAAGTGAATGGTTTGGGAGCACAATTTAGTGCACACAGCATGTCATATTATCTGATAATTGTAAAAAAAAAATTATAATTCGAAAAGGCAATTGACTGTGTAACGCCATATAAAACAAAACAAAAATATGATGTATATGCCGAGATCAGCAGCTAATCAGCCGGAATCAGCTAATGCCGAGTTCAGACTGCATGATTTTAGCCCTCATTTTGACTCGCCGACAATAATCACACAGTGTGAACTATCAAGGGCATGATCTGAGAGAATCATGCTGTGTGAAATGAGTTTTGACTGAAAATAGCATTGGCGATCGCTTACAGCCAACGAGAGAGCAGCATCCACTTGTGTGTGTGTGTGTGTGTGTGTGTGTGTGTGTGTGTGTGTGTGTGTGTGTGTGTGTGTGTGTGTGTGTACCTGCAGGCCAGCAGGAGGTTGAGGGAGAAGTTAAAAGCACTCATTTTTGGCTTATTTGGACCTAAGAAATGGAGGAAAAACTAGTGGAGGTTTAACAGGAGCACTGTGTCTGTTTGACATTTCATACAGAAAGTTAAAAAAGAAAGTTGAGGAGAAATTTCTACCCTATTAAAGGCTTCTTTCTCGTTATGTAGTATAAAGATATACTGCATGTTTTTGGCTGTGAGATGTAGTTTGTTGTTGTATGTAAGTTGTTGGTGATTCTTCCTATTGTAAAGTCATGCAATGTGAAAGCCCCTGTCACCGACCCATCTTGCAGTGTAAACAAAGCAGCGACAAACCGCTAGCCCAGACAGTCATGCAGTGTGAAAACATCTGTGGCACGGCTTCTTTGAAAATCATGCAGTCTGAACTTAGCATAAGGTGATGTGACGGTGACCAGCGAGACCTAGCTGTCACTCAAGTGACCACTCCCTTAATTATGCAAACTTAAAAATATAACCTAATATAAAGGAAATGGAAAAGTTACAAAAAAGCCACCCCCTCACAGTTGTCATGATGAGTAATTTTAGTTATATAAACCAAAACCATCTTTTGTACCAGGCTGTAAACACCTTTTTTTCAGCTGAAAAGTTGGCCATTCTAACAGTGGGGTCATTAGAAAATGGCTCCATATGGAGCCAGGACTAGCGGAATTTTGATGAATTGCAGTTTTAGTTACTTGCGTATTGGCTTCCCCGAGGGAGAGCAGGAGGTTGCAGATTGATTCAGACACCAAAATGGGCCGATTCTGAAGACTACAATAATCTGATAGGTGTTTTGATCTGAAACTTTACAGACACATTCTAGAGTATGATAATATAGTATAAGGTCTTGGATAAAAATATAGCCTTGGATAAAAATATCATGGTTTCTCTGTATTCTAATCACAGCTTTAAATGGGACGGGAAAAAGCAAAAACTTTTTCTAATTTGAACACAATATATGTTATTTTGATAAAAATTGAAAGTATTTTAGAGCAGTAAACATATATCAGGCTAAATAATTCAAATTAATTATTACCTTCTGCTGTCTTCATTTGTTTTAAAAATACAGGTTTCATTACAATTTAAAACTGCATCTTTAGAGATTTTTTCTGAGTAGAAAAAGAGTAGAAAAGTAGATACTGTTGTCCTAAAAAACAACAAAAAAACAATAAACAATTACTGTACACATACCATAGGAACGGTATAACAAAGTTTGTCGTTTTTAAAACCTTGACCTTTTCAAACCTCGATAAACCTTGAAAATGGTTATCGTCCCATGCCTATTTTAGAGACACCAGTCTCATCTTGCATCTTGTGAAAGTAGTAAAATAGGTGCCCTTTAAGCATTTGTGAAAATAGCCTCCCTTTGTGCTTGTCAGAATAAATGCTAATGCACTGCAAAGACCGTGTGAAGCCACTGAAGTGAGAGTTTCCAAGTGTCTAGTCCTGTGAAGGAACTTAATATGGAAACTTTTGTTTTGTGTTTACCTTATGATTAAAGGTGTTGCATGTCCACTGGTTGCTGCCTCAAAATGAGCGAAACTACTTGTACATTAAGGAAGCGTTTAGAAAAAAAAAACACCAGCGGACCATATAACCTACTGCCAGCAAGCCTTTCTGAAGTGTTATTGCAGAGCAACACAAACAGCACGCAGAAGTATAAATGTACAGCTACACATGAGGCTGTTGGTCATGCAGATCCCTTGACGCATAAGCATAAACCAGGCTTAAGTCATGTCAACCTAAAAATCACTGGAATTTGAATCCTATTTTAACGACAGGAAATAAAAAAAAGAGACTTTTTGGTTTTATATCACTCCAACATGACAGTGATAACACTAACGTTATACCTACACACAGTTCAGTCAAAACAGCTTACAAAAGTTAATTCTTATCATATAGCATAGAACGGATGTCAGCTCTTCAAAATAATTCTGAAACCATTTTGTGTAAAATATAAAATATGAAGATTTTCATTCAGTAACCATCTTTTTAAGAGTGAATAAAAGGCTTAATTGAATAAATATGCGTCTGCTGCTATTTAAAACAAGTAAATCCATTTAAGCCTCCAGTAAAATCACTCGACAAGCTTGTCAAAATGTCATCGATGTCGTAGTGCAACTATAACTTACAAAAACACGCTAGAGAAGTCCAGCTCCCTCCAGATAGCCGAAAACACCTCAAACCGCACAGACTCGCTCAGCTGAAAGCGACCCAGCAGCTCCTCACAGTCACTTTTGAATGGCGGCACCCAGTAAAACTCGCTCGCTTTCTCTATTCGACACATTCAAGTCAGAAAAAGGGACTGACAAAAAACACCATATATAAAATCATTTTAAAATAACTTACTCCGCGCCATAACCTTGCGAAGTCAAACTCTTCCAGTCTTCAGTCCTGATAAACTGAATGTTAATTGACTCAATGCACCTGTGCGCGCGCAACTGGGAGATGCTGCATATGACCACGTGTGCGCGTGTTTTATTTTATACATATGCATGTATGTATGTATATCTATGTATTTTATAGCTTTACCTCGTTAAAATAATACAATAATTATGGATTAAAAATACAAACATATAATATAGATTAGCAATATTATACTATATCCTGATTAATGTTTAATTTTGAAAAGTTTTTATTACACGTTGCATGGTGCTACATTAACCGTAATGTCTATTAAATTACATTTACGGTAATAGTAAAGCACAATGCAAACACAAAACTATCAGTACCTCTTCCTTCTTCCCGTTTTTTTAGTTTACCAAACTTAAGAACAATTATAGTTAATTTTCAGTGTCATATAATCATGTAGCCTATTATAGCAAATAATCTGTTAACTTGATATTGAAAATATTATTAATTTTGGCAACTAGCATCGCATGTGTCATGTTAGCCTCCAGGCTAATGTACCTTTGCCTGACAAGCAGGTTTCTTCTTTTTTTGTGAAAAGCTGATGAAAGTTGTCAAACCTAACTTAAAGGCTAAACAAATAATTGAGGCTGTTTTTGTTTTAACTAACTCAGCCTTTTTTCTAAATGCATTTGACTTTGAACTTATTCTTTTGTTTGGCACCAGCAGTAATTGCTATCATTGGTAATGATGCACCTTATTCATTCACTACTTTATTCATTTATTACTCATTATATATTGTTATACACTCACCGGCCACTATATTAGGTACACTTGTTTAAATGCTCGTTAAAGCAAATTTCTAATCAGCCAATCACATGGCAGCAACTCAATGCATTTAGGCATGAAGACATGGTCAAGACGATTTGCTGCACTCCAGTGACTTTGAATGTGACATGGTTGTTGGTGCCAGACAGGCTGGTCTGAGTATTTCAGAAACTGCTGATCTACTGGGATTTTCACGTGCAACCATGTCTAGGGTTTACAGAGAATGGTCCGAAAACTGAGCTATGCAGAAGAGCATCTCTAAACGCACAACACATCCAACCTTGAGGCGGATGGGCTACAGCAGCAGAAGACCCTACCTGGTTCCACTCCGGTCAGCTAAGAACAGGAAACTGAGGCTACAATTCGCACAGACTCATCAAAATCGGACAGTAGAAGATTGGAAAAACGTTGCCTGGTCTGATAAGTCTCGATTTCTGCTGCAACATTCAGATGGTAGGGTCAGAAATTGGCATAATCAACATAAAAGCATGAATCCATCTTGTCTTGTGTCAATGGCTGGTGGTGTAATGGTGTGTGGATATTATCTTGGCACACTTTGGGCCTATTAGTACAAATTGAGCATTGTGTCAATGCCACAGCCTACCTGAGTATTGCTGCTGACCATGTCCATCCCTTTATGACTACATCTTCTGATGGCTACTTCCAGCAGGATAACGCGCCATGTCATAAAGCGCAAATCATCTCAGACTGATTTTTTGAACATGACAATGAGTTCATTATACACAAATGGCCTCCACAGTCACCAAATTTACATCCAATAGTACACCTTTGGGATGTGGTGGAACGGGAGCTTCACATCATGGATGTGCAGCTGACAAATTTGCAGCAACTGCTTGATGCCATCATGTCAATATGGACCAAAATCTCTGAGGAATATTTCCAGTACCTTGTTGAATTAGTTACACGTCAAAAACTTTAAAGCAGTCCTGCTCTATAATATTGTCATAGAATCTCAACCCAACTCAAGGAGGTTAAGCTATTTCACTCACAACAATAGAGATTAATTGCTAGAAATCAGACATTTAGTTTTTAAATAATATTTTTTCTAGAACCAAAAGTAACCGAGTGATGTTTAATGTTTAGTTGTTATTCCAGGATAGTAAAAACAAAGACATTTATGTAATAATTCAGAAATAGGAATAAAGCTCATTATAGAAGTGCATTCAAGTGACTTTATGAACTAATTACATTTCAGTGTACTTTGAATAACTTGATATATATATATAAATAAAAATAAAAAAAACAATATGAAAATTGAAACATACATCACAAATGTCTGGTCCACAATTGCCTTTTACTGATTATGCAATAAACAATACATTTAGTGTTAAGAGAGTTGAATAGAAGACTGAAGACTGTAGAGATAAATGAACAGAAGATTACAATAACAACAAACAAAAATGTATTTCTTTTTCTATCGTAAAACAAGATAAAAGGTCATAAAATACTCGCAGGACATTGTCAACAGGCCGACATTCATCTGAAAGCATGAAGAAAACAAAAGTTGTCTGTCTTAAACTAAGCTTTTCTGTTCTAATGCCATTATAAATATTTGGAAAAACTGGGATAAATGATGCTTCAGCTTTGCATGATCTAAAACGCAGAGAAATGGTTACCAGCTATGACTTATTACAAGCGTGAATTACCTTAAGCGTCTACCACATAGAACTAAACAAAACAGACCACTAAAAATATAAAAATCTATTGCATAATTAAACTAGAAATCTGTTTCAACCTCTTTGAGACAAAAAAAGCCATCAATGAGAACACCGTAGAATGATTCTGAATTCCCTTTTTTTTTTTTGCACATTCTCCATCACTTTCAATGGCTCTTTTACAATTCGTCTGTGCCGTTCAAGAGAAAACTGAAAGTGAAAATATCGATGCGATGAAAAGCAACACTCACAAACATCCAACAGCATTTTTAACCATTGAGCCTTTGAGTGCAAACACAGAACTCGTACATAACCGCTACACAATGAAAGAGAGGAGAGAGGGGAGGGGGGAAAAAAATAAACAGTTCGATATTTCATTAAAAGTACACATCCGTAAAAATGGTTTCGTATATATTGCATGGACTGCTGGTATTCTGTCTTAAGAAAATAGATTATTGTGCGACTGTAGCTACAATACACACGCTTTGGGAGTGGGGGCGATAAAACACAGCGGGAGGCTTTTTAGGTCAAAGTCGGAGATCCAGAGGGAGTTTTTGGGTGGTGGGGGTGGATTGTACGCATCTGCATCTGTGTGTCAGGGCGAGTTGTGCATTTCACATTAAGGCTCTTAACTCTTGATGCCACTGTTGAGTATCGGTACGTTCCTGTGTCTGCAGGCCCTGCACACACTGGGGATGGGATGGACTGACTCCCTCTGGGCTCCTGTTCACATCAATGGAAGGTGCAGGTCTAGTACATTTCGTTTTAAAACACTGGGGTTTTTAGAGAATATTAGGGCTTGGGATAAAAGGAGACAAGTGGAGGCAGATTTCAGGGGTTCGGGAGAAGGGGGGAAGAGTGTCCGCAGTTGCTAAAAGCAGCAGAGCTCAGTTGACTTGGTCCAGAGCACGCAGCAGCTCCTCTCCCTGGAGCAGATGGTGGCGGTCCTGCACGGGAGCGTTGACTTCGCAGTCGTAGCGTGTGAGCTGAGGGAGGCCGCCGCTGCCCTCTAGAGAACTGCTCAACAGACGACTGGCCACATCTGCAGAGAGAGAAAAAACTCATTTACTCACAACTGGAAACATGCAGATTTAGTTAGAGCTACAAAAATGACTCTGAAGCTATAAATAAAACTGCTGTAAATAATTATTATTATTATTTTTTTTACAGTTTTATTTAAGTACATCTTGAATAAAGTTGTTTTTTAAAAAATGAATACATTTTTCATTGGATTTCTTGTTGGGTTTTTATAATAGCTTTTATATGGACATCAGTAATTGAATTATTTGCCTTAATCTGAATAAGAAAATAATATGATTAAGGTGTTTACATGAGTTGCTTTTTTAATGTTCCCTTCATGATCCTGTTTTAAATGTTCTGGCACATAATTTGATTAAGATCATTGCGTCACCACGTTTTCTCAAGAGTTTCGTGTATATTGGGGTGTTTCATTTCTTAATTTGTCAACTTTAACTGCAGTTTGGCACTTTCACTATTATTCAGTAACATTTTATGCATGCCCCTGTGACAAACGAGATAATGGATGCGAGTATGAATTACTCAAAGAGTGAGTGTTGTTTTAGTGGAATTTAATTCAACACGCTGTATGGGGGGAAAAACCTCAGCATTTCATGATGCAGGTGTCTGTGGTCCTTCACATACTCAGTAGGTTCAGAGAATAGTGTAAAACAGCTAAGTTTAAAGATTATCCTGTCGCAAATGCAGCGAAAATCCTCCACGATGGTAATAGTTTGATTGCGCTGTTTACATGTCTGTACTGCACTTCAATAATGCCATTAAAATCGGCATAGTCCACATGCCTTAATTCCATTTCTGTTTAGATCTTTTATGACTTTAGTCAGATCATCAGGTAGATCCAGTCAGTTTTGATGAGATATGTGCTTCCCTCAAACAGTAGTAAACAGAAAATCAGTGACAGTTGATTCATCTTTGTGTAATCTCAAAGACACTGACATGTTCTTCACCAGTAAGCCCAAAGGGATTTATAATAAATTAACATTTCATTTCAATACTCCCATGCCAGTTAACAGTATACTTTCTGATTTAAGTGGGTAAATTTAAGCATTTAATATAAAAGACAAGACAGAAAGTAGTAATTGTGTAATTATAAAATTGCCCCTTGTAAATCAATTCCAGGGGGCAAGCATGGCCTACCAGTTGAAAAGGTAATTATAAGAAATGATTGAGAATTGTAAAGTTTATTCATTTTAAAATGGCTTCAAGCCAAACTATCGAGGATTGCATTTGTGCAGCACAATATTAGGAAAATGTGAGATTTTGTTTTGCTGTGATAGGAATATAATTTCACCAGACGATTTGAATAGCTCTACTTAGAAGGATTAAGTACATTTAGATGGACCAGGGTAATCAAGTCTTTTTCTATGCACTGCATCTGCATAAAGTTAAATAAATTACAAGCATATATAAATACAACAGTTCAACGATAACAGTTTAAGAAACAGTGCTTTATGGTTTTCTGAGTAGTCTAATAGTGTTCAAATACAGAAATTGAACAATCAAATGTAAAATAACATGGTCATCATTGTATAAATAATTTTATACGATAATATTTAATAATATCTTTACATTTGAATATTTATTAAGTAATCTAGTACTTTTTATCCATTGCAAAAGCAATGCTCAAACAAAATATTATTCAGCCCTACTTTTCATTTGAATGTACTTGAAAATCACTTTACACACAAAAAAAAAATCAATAAAAGCATCAGTGATAATAGTCCAGTCACTCACCAGAGGGCAGTATGAGAATTGTTTTGTTTCCCCCGAGCACACTGGACCCTTTCACCTCTAAAACCTTCGCTCTCTTTCCAGGGTCTATAGCACTGTCCACACTGTGAAGCAAAGCCCCCTGCAGGAAGCAGATAAACCATCAGACTGGCATAACTATGCAGGACTCATTCAGTAACTTTTTGCATCACAGTTTTATTTGTCTTTACAAAAATAAATTGTTGTTTAAAACTTCATACTGACCAGTCCAACAGCTTCAGAAAGCGACGTCACTTCGTTTAGCTTCCTCTTACGCTGGATATTTTGGAAGGCTAACATCTTTGGAGACATTTCTCTGTAAATTGAGTAACAAATAGTAACAAAGTTAGATAATTTAACTTTTAATATAAAAAGATGTACGAATCAATCGCCTGTGCAAAAAATAAGTTCTCTGGAAAACGATAAAGTAAATTAATAAATAAATTATAGTATATCTTTATTCATATATGATATATATATATATATATATATATATAT